GAGAGAGAGAGAGAGTGGGGAGTTGAGGTTTTTGTTGTTTTTACTTTTATCTTTTTTGTTTTTAATTAATTCTTTTAGTTGTATTTAAAGGGAAGGATGTCCCTTGTTGGAGCTAGGTGAATTGAGTAAAGAAATTGTTTTTGGGTCTTGTGAAGAGATCTTTGGGGTGGACTCCCTTGTAGACTCTGAGAGGGTATGATCTTTCATCTTTTATTATTATTTTATTTTATTTATTTCTTTTCTATCTTCTCTACATCTGATGCAGGGAAAAGATGGAAGGAAGATGGGAAAAAAACAAATAAAACAAAAAAAAGTAATAAATCGATGAGAGAATATACTTTCTCTCAGGGTTTACAGGAAAGTCCACCCTAAAGATTACTTTACAACGCCCAAATGCAATTGTTTTTATTGCATTAACCAAGTTCCAAAGAGGGGTATCTTTCTCCTTTAAATACAACTAACAAAATTAATAAAAAAGTAATATAAAAGAAAAAACAATAAAAATCTTATCTCCCCACATTTATCTCTCTCTCTATCTTCCACGTTTTTCTCTTTAACCTCATGTAAGTCTCTCTCATACTGAAGACAACAAGATCCCTTTTAAAAATCTCTCTACACCAACTAAATTCCATAAATATAGAAACGTTCTTTTAGCTCCCCCATATATCTCTTGTAATCACCAATATGTATTTTTCTATCTTAAAATAAAACGAACTTTCCAACTCTTCTCTTGAGATCTTTACAACCATAGAAGAAAAAAATAACCCTAAGCTTAAAAAAATCTAAAAAATAGGCAAAAAAGAAAAGAAAAAAGTAGTCATTGCATCATCTCTTGGGGTCTGGGATAAGCTTGACCTCGAGCTGGAAGATTTAAGTTCCTCTAATAGCTTTTCCAATAGTTGGTGACACAGTCCAATCATTCATCTGGGCACTTTCCTTCAATGAAACAATTGATTAAATACTTAGTATCCAGCTTGTAATGACTTCGGAAATACCCAACTTGATCTTGATTTCTCTTTTAATCTCAAAGGGTGGTATTTCACATATCGCAACTACCTTATCTTTTTCATAATTGTCTAAATCTTTTGCACTGAGATTTACCTCTTCATGTTCTTCCTCCTGCTGTTGCAATCTACAAAATAAATCTAGCAGCCATATCAGGTCTTCTATGATTCTCTCAAATATTTGATCCAATTGCTCAAATATTTAATCTATATACTCCATAACTGGATCTGTAGACGTTTGTGAAAGCACCATGTTTTATGGATCTCAAGGCTCTGCTTTATTGGTCTGAACTACTAGATCTAATACCAATTGATGGAGGGAAAATATAGGGGGAAGATGGGAAAGAGTACAAATAAAATAAAAATAATAATATACAGTTGGTATAATGTACCATCTCTCAGGGTTTGCACCGGAGTCCACCCCAAAGCTTTCTTCACAAGACCCAAAAACAATTCCTTTACTCAATTGATCAAGTTCCAAAGAGGGACATCCTTCCCCTTTAACTAATTAATTAAAAAAAGGAAAAGTATACAACAAGATTATGTATTTTTAATGCAAGGAGGTCACAATCACTGGTGTCTGTTAGATTTCAAATCGGGTGGTTGTAAGTGTTATTGACTAGAGTCAAAGTTCAAAAAAAAAATTTCTGAACTTTGTATCACACCCCAAGCCATCCAATTTGACATCGAATGACTACTAGCAGTTGTGACCTTCTTGTAATAAAGACAAACGGTCTCGTAATGTACAATCCCTTAAAAAAAAAAAAGATATATGAAAAACCTTTCTGTCTCTCTCTAATCTGCCACATTTTTCTCTCTTTAACCTCGTGTAAATCTGGCTCTTTTTTAATCAAACATTAGCCTCCTTAAAAAATCTTTCTATACCAATTAAATTCTGTATATACAGAAGATACTTTTTTAACTCCATATGTCTCTTGTAACCGCCAACATCAATCTTCCTATTTTAAAATAAATTAAACTTTTCAATTCCACTGTTGAAATTTCTACAACCTTAAAAGACAAAGCCTAAATAAAATAAAAAAATAGTGAAAAAGGGAAAAAGTCATTGCATCACCATGTTACCTTGTATTCATCATTTTCCATATGCCTATAGTTAGTGAATTGATTATATCATCAACCAAAAAGGAAAATGGTAATACGACTTTAGTTTGGAAGTTAGAACTTATTAAAAGTTGAAATGGATATTTCCTATTTCTTGCTTAATTAAGTTGCTCAATAAAATTGCCCCTGGTGAAGCTTTTGTGGTTATTAGTTCCATCCAATGTACATGGTCTTCGTCTGCTTCAGGGGTCCCTTGCCATTTCTTCGCCTTCATCTCCTTTGGGGATTCTCATTGTGTTCTTGACCATGCAATCATTTCCTCTATAAATGGCATCTTGGATGTTTAGGTCGAAATACCTTTACCTCAGGTTTAATTTTTATCTAAGTTAACCTGGTAATGAGCATCCTATGCTTTAATCTTTTACTCTTTCGTTGTGGCCAATTGACTTAGGTTAGGATGTGGTAAAATTACCATCATAAGGTAGAAAATTCTTCCCCCAAGATTCATCAACCAATCAGCGATTTGCTAATACCATGTATGGCTATTAAGATGTATAAGAGAAATTAGAGGAAGAGGGGTTATGGCCAGTCACTAATGACTTGTTAAGTTGCGATGATTATACACTGCAATAATGTATGCTAAATTTTACTTGCATTGCCCATTCCCCCCAAAAAAAAAAAAATTACTTGCATTGCTTTCTTTACAGAATTAATTGTTGAACATATTTTAAAATGGGACAGAATTTTGAGGATCAAGAGGTTGAAATATTGGAATAAAAAATCGTTAGGAACCTGATCTAGAAAACTAATTTCCCCAGAATAGGTCAACCAGAGTTAATGTCCTTAGCAACCCTTGTTTAATTTTTGAAGGAAAAGCAGTACTGACAAGGCACGTTGCCAAGAGTAGGTGGATGCCTATCCCATGAATCCTACCTTGAAACATATATTCTCGAGATGTAATGCAACTAAGTCCAGAAAAAGATAAGCAAGAAGAAAGGAACTACTTTCCTATCCAGAAATAAATCTTCATGTTCCTGAGTGAAAAAATTGTTTGTGTTTATGTTATTATTGTCGCATAGATGCCTAAATGCTATCCCATGGCTCAGGATCGTATTATTTCAACTGTTATATGTTTTAGGAAGTTCTTATAATTTCTGACAGATGATTTTTATGGTACACTGGTTTAACAGATGGTTCTTCTGCCTGCAACTTTCTTTTATTGGATATAGATACTTATTTTGTCTCTCTCACTTTTTTTTGTGTGCATTTTGCTCTATTTGCTTCCAAATACAGGTTGGCAGGTCCAAGTGGAACGGGCACATTGGGAACTCGGGAATAGTTATTAGAGTTGAAGCTCCAATCAATAATGTCAGTAGGCCTTCATTTTCTATTCAGTTGAATACCGGAGTGGAGTTCTGATTTTTTTTACCTCTACTTTCCCCCCTTCCCCTTCATTTTGATGGATGGGTGGAGTTTTGATCTTTCGCATCTTCTTGTATAGTGTATATACTGTCAACAGTGATACTCAAAATGTAAATGAAATTGTGATATTATATGTAGAAGTCTGATCATCACGATTCTCTTTCTTTTTATTTTTCGCCTTGGCATATTGAAATTGTAAGATTTGAGGTGAATTGAGAGTGACGCAACAGGCCAGGATCACGCTTGAGACATTGGCTGCTTTCTCCGTTTTTAGAGACTCAGGATTTTCGGTTTTGCTGAATGATCATGAGTAAATTTGGTTCGAGGATATGTACTTCATATATCATGCACAAACACTAGGCAGCTTCTTTTATGCTCATTCTTTCTTTATATTTTTTTATGTTAAAGAGAATTATTTTTTTCTTGTGTTCATTCATTTTTTTTTCTTCATTTTTATCTGTTCTTATACGGTGAACGATAATTGGTGAGCCATTTATGACACTCAAGCTAGGTAGTCCATCTACTATTTTCAAGTGTTTATGGATCCATCGCATCACTATTTTCGAGCTTTTATTTCAGAGTCGCGGGTGAAATTAGATTTTTGTATTTATGATGTTGGGACTGCATTCCTTGGCGAGGTTTTGATGTATGACTTTACTTCATGCTTAGCTTAACAAATAACAGTTGATGTTGCAACTTCATGCGTTGAACTTTTGAAGGGCTAAATAATGAACCTCGATGTTTGCTAGTTTCTCTTTCAAGGAGTCGCTCTCTCTCTCTCTCTTTGCTGGAGTTTTTTGGGTTTGAAGAAGTATAAAAGAAATCCCCATTGATCTCTCTTTCATCCGAGGAATAAGTTTCTAGTCTAAAGTACATGGACATCACTATCATCAAAGTCTTGTTTCAATTATTTAGTGTCTGCTATATGAATCATATTTTATTATTTTTCTTTATCAAGGGTCATATATTAGGTCATATATTATGTCAGGTCATAAGTTATCATGCCTTAAATTTTTCTTTTTTTTGAGCAACTAGTCACCATACCTTATTTTAGCAGTTCTATTTATGCTTTTTTTGGGTTTTTTTGTTTACCCTTTTAAGTGCTTTCCATTAGAACCAAATTGTCCATCCTAACTGTGCTACTTTAGGTTGACGTTGTATATGGCCAACCAACTTAAAATCTATTTTCTCAACTTGCATCTATGGGAGCTACGCCAAAGTTCTCTCAGATGTATAAATTTCGAATCTATCTTTGCTTTTCTTGCTACTGGTCCACTTTAACATTTTTATCTCAATTACACTCTTCTAAGGATATATTGTTTTTTTGACAACATACATGGGTACAATATACGTGCCTTATCTCAATAAAATAGACGCCTATGCTAAAAAGATGTTGAAAATGTCCGTAGTTTTTGCGCTTTCTAGCAGATGCCCATGAGGATATTTTTAACCTAAAAATTTGGCATTCATCTTAGAATCAACGAATAGTTTATTTCAAAAAAGGAAAAAGAAACATTAATTTTAATTTCTGAACACATAGATCTAGCCTTCTGAAAAAAAATGAATCGTTTTTAGTTTGGAGATAGACAATATAACTACTCTTATATCGTTTTTAGTTTGGAGATAGACAATAGAACTACTCTTATATTTTCCTACATAGATTGACGATATTATGGTATTTCTTTTAAGGGTGCGGTTTGTATAGAGAGCCAAGGCTCAAAACAGTCAAAGTAAGGCGCACTTTCAAATAGTGTCGAGAAATGTTGTTCAATACTGGAAATCTTTGTGATAGCCTTAAAATATATTTTCATATCTAATTATAAAATTTAAAGCATCAAAAATAGTGTAGATCGAGTAGATCTATAAAAACTTGAAAATCTTGAAAATTGGCTCAAAAAATGCGTTATAAGATGCACTATTTCCAAACCTTGAAATCCATTTTTTTTTTTCTCATGTCCATATATCTTGATGTTGAGATGATCAATGTGAGGATATTTGGACATCAAAACAATCTCCTCTAGTGAAATTTTTGAGGTGGGCTCTAATTTGATTGTTTAGAGCCTCAATCTATATAAACTTTTTCCTTCTTTTAAAGCTAAAAAGAAAATTTTTTTTTTTTTGACAAATGTTCAAAACTTTTATTGATGACTAATTACATCAGAGGAAAATAAAAGCGAAGGCAACACATAGCCAAAGAGTCAGCTATTAAGTTTGCTTCTCGGTAAAGGAAAATGAAAAAGGTTCGACCAGGTCCATGATTTGCAACCAAAGAGAACGGAGCTCCCATGGAACGCGCTGTTCTTTATTGCACCACTTAATCACATTAAGAGAATCCCCTTCAACCCAAAACATTCGTTCTCAGATTCTTCTGAAACAAAACTTTTACCCCACACAAAAGAGCACTTAATTCAACATAATTTGCTGTTTTGGCCCCAATCGGACTAGCAAAGGAGAAAATTATAGAACCCAAGGAACCATGCACTACACCACCAATTCTAGCAATACCTGGGTTTCCCAGAAAACTCCCATCAAAGTTAAGTATAATACATCTAGCAGAAGGAGCAGTCCAAAAATATCGTGGTCTACTACGAGCACCCAAGGAGAAAGAGGCTGCTAAGATTTGCCATCACATCAACTTTTGGAATGCCTCACCCGTCTTTTGTCACAGACAACCATAACCAAATCGAGTGCTTGATGTTTGTTAAAAGTTTCTTAAAAGGTAGGGAGTTACCTTCAAAGGTTATTCTATTCCTTTCCTTCCAGATTTCACAAAGGATGACACCTTTAGAGATTTTCCAAATTGATTTACCTATCTCAGGCAAATGAGCGATAGAAAATTGAGAAACAATCCCTTCAATCGATTGAGGAAGCACCACATGAACCCCAAGATTGCCAAACAACCAGTTCCAAATTTGTGCTGTAAAAGAACAGTGAATAAGTAAGTGTGCACCCGACTCCCCATCAACTTTACACAGTAAACAGACATTGGGCAAGATTTTCCCCTTTTCATCAAGTTGTCAATGGTTAAAATCTTTTCAGAGATACAAGCCAAATAAAACCTTGCACCTTATGTGGGATAGGCCACTTCCAAATTTGTGCTATTTTTGGATTAGACCATCTTAGCCTATCATGAAAGAGGAGGTTGTAATACAATTTAACAGAGAACATCCCATCACTTTCGATTTCCCAAATAATTTCATCCTCTGCATTAAACGCAACATAAGCTTTATCCAAAGTTTCCATTAAAGCGCACCATTGGGAAAGAAGGGCTCAGCTGGCCATAAGATAGAGAAATATTTTAAGAATTTTGCATACCCTTTCTTTCTAGAGCATCACTAACTGTCAAATTGGGCTGGGTAACCAATCCATAAAGGTCAAGAAAGGCTATTCCCCTATCCATTTATGGTGCCATAAAGATACTTGACTCCCACAACCAATATTCCACCTTGAATATTCAAAAATATTTTCTCATGGCACACACAATAAATTTAATAGTCTATATAAATGAATCAAGGATAGGAATAATACTTATTCCTTATGGAATTATTTTTTGGCATCATGGAAAAGAAGATATCCTAGAGAGAGTGCTTCTCCAAGAGAGAGGGACATGACCTTTGAGAAAGAGGTAGTTTCCATGAGGTTGATCGGCAGTGTCGTTCGAAAAGAGAGGGCGTTAAGAAGAGAAAATAAGTTAGGCTATCACCAACACATAGATAGTCTTGTAACGTAAAACTATAAACTTGATCGAACATTGGATTTTATTGATAGTGGATTTTGACTTGCCAAGGCAATGGAGGCCTTTTAGGTAAATCATATAAATCTTGTGTTCAACTCTTTTTAATTTTTACAACATTTTTCTTCGCTTTTATTTTTACCTCAGCCTTGTTTCTATCCTTTGCAGGGAGAGGTGTTTACGGGGATAAGATTTATAATTTGGTAGAGAGAAACACATTGCCAAGTTGGTAGAGACAAAATGTTTTGCAAGAATTTCACAAAAAGTTCTATTTGATAAAAGGGAAAAAAAAAAAATTTATTTATTCAAGTCACCAAGGTAAATATGATGATTTTTCCATAAAATATTTTGGAGTCTAGGGTTAAATAATACTCTCAAGTTGGATATGCTAGGGTAATGTGAATATTTTTCACATAATTTTAGTCTCATGCATATAGTCTCCATTTGGCTCCTATACGTTTCATAATTTTTTCTGCTTTAGTAGCGTTTTTCAAACACTATGCACACATTTTTAATATTTTAAATTTTTTTCTACTTATTTATTGTTTTTACACTACTTTATAGATGTTTTTTTGTTGCTTTATAAACACTTTACCAACATTTTTCAGCTTTGAAAAAATTATGTACAGACACCTTTTGTGCCATTTATTACGAGATGTTGTCGTTTTTGCTGAAAATTTCAAGGAGCACACCCTTCCTTCCTATAACATTTTTTCCCCCTAAATTGTCCTTCTGACACGCAATAACAACACCGGACAGTTGGGGAACCCTTGTGCTTCTTATCTGTCCAGTGTCTCTAACTAGGAACAACAATATTATATGTCTGTCCGGTGTTCGTGATGCCGAACAACACTTTGAATGCAAAAAAAGCGCAACCTGGCTCCCCTTATTTTCTTCTTGCTCTCTCTCTCTTTCTATCCTCTCTGTCTCTCTACCCAGAGCGCTCTCTTTGTGGACCGGTGGTCTGAAGCTCATTCGTGGACATTTTGGGCGTTGTCATTGTGACTTGGGGGGGGGGGGTGGTAATTTAGAAAAAAAAAATATCGTAGGAAGGAGGGGTGTGCTTCTTATAATTTCCAGCAAAAAGGTAATAAACGGGTACATATCGGCACCTATTCTTCAGTTCAACTTTTTTTTGTCTCTTCATAAATGCCATTTCAATAATGTTTTTATTTTATTTTATAACATTCTTTGGCATTTATACATTGTCTTTTAAATCTCTTCATGAATACTTCCATTTCACTTCAAATGAATTCACAAAAGTTTTTGAAGTGTAGTGCATCATCTTCAGCTACATATTTACCAAAATTACCAAGAAGGATAAAAAACAATACATCGGCCAACATCATAAGCAATAATAAACATTGGTTTTGGTTCTTTGCGGAGGAAGAGGTTTCTGGTGTTGAAGAGGATGTTCCTGATGATCTGGACGTGTACAATTTGGCCATGGTAGAGGTAGGTGGGGAGATGCCTCTAAATGCGATCCCCCATTCTGAACCTTTACTCCTTCAGGA